GGAGGGCGGCGCCATATGGTCATCATTAGCTCCTGGCTTTTTGTCCTCCGCTGCCGCCGTCGCCGCCGGGCCGAGCTGAGTTCGGCCGGCGCGGCGGTGCGCCGTGGGCGTTTGCACGTGCAGTGGGCCGTGGAGTTCGGCGCGCACGCTGCGGCGCCCGTTTGTTAGCGCCAGTGAAGATGTCATGGATGGCGGTCTCGGCCGGAAATGGGACGCCGACCTCATGTTGAGCGGCGCCGATGGATTCCGGCGATTCCCGCGCCGCGCTCATGTGGACAGTGGAGACGCTCTCCGAAACGTCCTCGGCATTGCCGCAAAGCGTGGGAACGAATTGCCTGTGTGCACTGTAACATCGGCCTAATCTGTGAGCTGGGATGGGTCCGGGCTGCTTTAGTGCCGTCTCTGTTCGAAGTAAATGAAGTCGCCAGGCTTACAACCATCTAATATCAGCAGAGGAGGCTGTAAAGGCTTCTATTTCGGGATTGGGAGCCGGGAACATTTATGGCTTATGATTCTATCCAAAAACAAATTAAGAATGAAGGCTTATGGCAGATCTGAAGCCCCAAGAATTGAGCAGTTTAGCTCCATATACGTCGAAATAAATGAAAGCTTGGAATACAAAGCTGTGCCTGCTCCTCTGCTCACGATCCTAACATTTGCACAGCTTTTGTTCTCCCTTTATCGACACATTCCTTCTTGACACCATATTCGCTATGAATTGAGCACGTGTTAGCATTGTTCTTTGTTGTTTCTTGGGCCTGACATTTCCGAGCGGCAATTTTCGGGGAAGAAAAATCGCCTCTGAAGGAGGCGTGAAATAGAGAGCAATCTTTGGACGTCATCCGGTTATGATCTCACGTCACGTTTGGCGGCGCCGTTATTAAACGGCGCGTCTCGGGCGTGCAGGGCGCTGCTAATTCGTCACCGCACGTGCTGGATCGACAAATGATGCTGCCGGTGTGACAATGAACGGGCGACGTGTAATTTCCTGTATCGTGGCATCATCACCGTTTGGTGTAATAGGAAACCTTTTTAAAACAAACTGAGCACCAGCTAAACAGTGCCACTCATTATTTATGACGGGTTGCACATTCTCCGTAAGTTGTGGGTTATTGTTTGATAATGGTTGCCGTTTTTGCTCCGAGTTAACAATTGTAGGAATGAGCGTGAAAGGAGGATGCGATTGGGAGTCGTTAAATGACCGCCCTGCAATGAACGTGAACCGAACAGTTTTGCACTGAGAAAGAGCAGGCCTTCCTGGGCTTGCTACTATTGGTATGATTGTGTAATTATTGAAGTAAATCGCTGTTTTCGTTTCATGGCTAGCTGCTGTTCGAAGCTGACTGAAATTTAACCCTATTCCTGGCGGGCTCCGCCGGGACAAGAAACTGGCGGGGGGGGGGGGCGATTCGGCCCCCCCTGAGATCTCGAGAACGAAGCAAGATAGCGACAAGCGGTAAACGGCATCGGATACGCACGGTCAAGATCTACAATTTTTACCAAGGTCATTTTCAGGTCAGGTCAAAGATGACGTCACAGGGGTCGAAAAAGTCAAAATGGCGGCGCTAGATATGGAGAGAGTTTTTCTCGAATAACTTTCGAATTAGTCAAGATAGGAACAAACTAAGGGCATCATCGTGATCCTCTCGTCAATCCGCATCGAATGATATATATGTTGACCTCGAAAGGTCAAGGTCAAAGGTTGACCTCAGGTCACGTGACCTCGAGGTCATCATGTATATCATTCGATGCGTCTTGACGAGCTGAACACAATGAGACCATCCACGCGTCTGTATCTTGTTCCTGTACGGAGTTATTGGCCAAAAACCTTTGGTGACCTTTGATGACGTCACATGACCTCACAGCTGCCCAACAGCAAAACAGACCTCAAGGTAGTGAAGGTTGATCGTATATGAAGTCATGTATGGTATATGGGGCCATTCCGACCCGTTTTAGTGGTAAAAACAGGGAGTTGATTTTTCCCCCATTGACTTATAATGGGGAGGTCGCGAAACTGACCTGACCTTAGGTCACCGATATCAAAATTCCGAGATATACAAATTGCACATACTGGTACCCTAACTAAAGCCTGAAGAGAAGAAATTGATCGGTCAAAAACTCTAGCTCTGGCGTGATTGCAAACTTTTCTGAGGTAGGGTCACCAAACCGCCTCTGGTGACCTGACCTGAGGTCAGATCAACTCAAAATTTTCAGACATGTTGCGTAGAAGCCTTTTAGGAAAAGTCAGAAAATTTGAGCTTTCTAGCTTAACGCGTTTGGGAGAAAGAACCAAAAAACCTCAGGGGGGGGGCTCCTGAGGCCCCCCCCCCGCCAGGAATAGGGTTAAAGCTAGATCTCGTGTTGAATTTTAGGCTCTTTGGTAAAATGGAGTGCCGGAACTGTTGTTTAGTTGGAATTTGCCATCTCCATAAACAGGCTATCAGCGTTCCAAGTTTAGAAGCCACCTCTCCCCGATTTAGGGTCCCTGATGGTGTAATGATGGCAGTAACACCGCCGGTCAGTAACCTCCGACCATTGTCGGGAATTGTATCTCTGCTCTGGCCTCAGCACGCGTTTACCATATAAATTTGGAGTTGGGCCTGAAGACGTTCACGTTACTACGCATTATTGATTATAAAATCTGAATCCATTAGCTCTAAAACGCATTGATACCCAATGATTAATGGAATGAATGAATGCTATTAACGGTTTGTACTGTTGGCTTTTTGCGTCGCAGACGTACAAAATCGGGCAGATAAGGTAATGATGTTAACACGATACATTAAATCGACAACAAATGCTGTTGATCACTTTGCCGGACACGCTATCGGGTCTCGGACTGAGGGTGCTCCAAGAGAACTGTTGGGAGACACTGGGACTGCGAGAGCGGACGAATGCTCTGCCGCCTGACAGACCCGTCTCCGCGACTAGTTATACGAGTGACGGGCGGTGACGGCTGGCTTCCGCCTGGCGCAGGGGACCGAGCCGGGCCCGTTATTCAAATTACCAGTACCGCGGTGTTATCGTCACCCTTTGCTCGCGGTGCGTGGCCGAATAACGTCCATTAGCTGCGAGTCCATTTGGTTTAATGTTTGTGAGGAGCTGAGCTCGCTCAGTGTGTTCACACAGTGAAACGCACATCTGTCTGTTTATTGTGTGGGAGTGTACAGGGTGTCTCAAAAGTTCGTTCACACATTTCCCATGCCAATAAAGCATATAAGAACCGGCCAAAAGTATAAGGTTTTGGTGTCTGTGTGTACACTAGACAAATATGCATGCTTTGACAACTGATTAAGAAGGTTGGAAACCAACCCCTTTGCTGTATCTCCAAAAATATTTGCCCATACCGATTTTTGTTGCTCCGTCAGCTGCCGGAGGCTGATAAAAGGTTACCAGCTTTCAAGCTCTTGCAGGGGAATCCCCTGCAGTTTCTGCGTCGGATTTAGCTTTAACTAGCTCCCCGGCAACATTTGATTTTCCCTGAAAGCCGACAGCTTGCATCGACACCATTCTTGAGTATTTTGTAGGCATTCTCTGGCGCTAACTCCTTCATGAATGACTGGCGCCGACATCCCAAGCGCCATTTTCCTTTTCAAAACGACCCCAGTCCTGAACAAACGGGAAGTACCAGGAGTAAATTTTTCGCATCATATGGTAGCAGAATGTGTCGGACGTCTGTTTCTCAGACACATTGTGCAAATTTTGCAAATTCCAAGCGCTCGTCATTCCCCATGCGAAGACCTTTGCTCGGTTGCGGAGTGTTTTCCTCAGGAGATGTTCTGCTTTGTAAACGGCCCAAACCTGTCCTTCGTGTGGTTTTATCGGGATTTTGTGTTTAAAAGAAAATTATTCGCTGCAGATCTGCCTCTTAAAACTTCGTTAGATAAAATTTTACAATAACTGACACTTTTGGAGGGTCAGGTGTCCTTGGCATTGACGATTTTTGTGTTATTGTCCCCAAAAATTAGCGTTATAGATATCATAAACAATTTTAAATTATAATTTGTCTTTATTTTACGATGACCTGCACTTTTTGAAAATGGGTAACCTCTGTCTGTGACCTTCTTGCCAGTTTTCAATAGTTATGACCGCATTTTCAGCTGCTTTCCGGAACACGAGTCTGCTGTCGTGCGAGGGTCGTTCAAAACGCCGTTAGTCTCGCATGGTTTCGTCCTTCAAAAATTTTAGCCACCGTTTTTATGAGATGATCATCATGTTGCACTCATCCTCGCCGACACTTAGCCATGTGTCATTTCCGACTTAACCATTCCCATTACTCCTGAAACAGAGAGTTTCACAACATACCCGACTTTGCAACCTACATTTTCGTCCCTGACCCATGGTCAGAGGCGAACCCTTTTTGTGAGCTCATGAAGGGTCGAATGCACTTGAAAACAATGAGACTGCTTGAGGAAGGTTGTCGCCAATGCCCATGCAAAATTTCGACTGTTAATTTCTTGTTGATTCAGAATTATTGACAAAAAAGCATGGCTGGTACCTGTGAACGAACTTTTGAGACACCCTGTATGCTGCCCGGTGCCCACTGCTCAGTGTCGATTGAAAAGGCTATTTGCTTGGATCAGAAGCCCATCATATTCGATAACTTTAATCTTATCAAGTTCACGCATGTACATATGTTTAAAAGGTTTTTGCTTTTGAAAAACTATAAAAAGTCTGAAACGTGCGCAAAGATTTGATCGAGCCGCGTTCGTGAACATTGAAGCCGATAGCTGCTATTAACGCAAACGTGCGCTGGAAGAGGTATGAGACGACATGCACCGTCAGAAATTGGACTTTCAAGTAATCTTCAAACTAACGTCACACGATCATGCATCCCATGCAGTAGTCACCTATCATACATGACACCACTGTCTACCGTGAACAGCAAAAAATGGAGTAGAAGCTTCATTTTTTCCATTTTTACCGATTCAGTCACTTCAGAGGCACATATGCATGCATTATCCCAACTACAGAACCCCAGGCTGGTTTCAGCCACTCACCTGATTGTAGCGTTCCTGATCACACCGCCTGGTCCGTGCGCGCGCCGCTGTCCGTCTGTCTGTCTGTCTATGCCGGTTCGACCCGTCGGAGGGCGAGCGGCGAGGGAGAGGGAGAGAGCTGCTGCCGGCGCCGAGCTCCCGCACGGAATGACGCCGGCCGGCCACGACGCTCCGTTTTACCGGCGCGCGCCGACGCGACGCGACGCCACCCTCGGCGGCTCGTGCGGCCCTTGATCCCGCGGCGGCCGGGCCCCGAGCAGCGGTGGCGCCGGATCGGGGCCGACGGGGTTTTTGCCTGCGCGCACTCCGATTGTGTCGGCGTATTAGAGCAGTCATGAAAACAATCGACACTTGGCGCGGCCGCGTCGGACGCGCTGCCGGCGACGTGAGAGGCAAAACAGCTCGTTAGCCCAGAAACGGACGTCTCTGCGCGGCTATGTACCGGCCACACTGCGTGAGACTGCCGAAAGGAGGGTGGAAATGTCCATTGTGGGCGTATTGGGATCATCATAAAGCTCAACATGAAGCAGATGTTTCGTCAAGTATGCTTTCTCGACTACGATGGCATGGTAAGTCTCAGTTCTTGCTTATCCGGAAATGATCGGGAACACTTTTTGATGCGTTGGAATAAATATGACGTCGTCGCCTTCTGTCACTTTTTCGTATAGGTACTTCATTCTAAAAACAGCTGGTATCAATGTTCTAAACGGGGCGATCTGTCACGTTCAATATTCTGTCTCGGAATAACCACAATAACCTTCAATCAAGCGAAACCGCCATCGTTTTTGTTTGATGCAGTGGGGAAGTTTGCACATTCTGAAGGAATTCTTCGGAGTCACTGTTGAAAGCAACACTATCCTGGCAACACTTACTTGTCACAAGAAATATTCACAACCTTTAACCGTTAATACCTTGTATTTTATGCATGCTAAGTGCGGTTTCTATTGTGATTTCTATACCATTTTCCAGATGGCAGACCCATGTCAAAGCTGCCTATTGGTGGCGCCTGCTTTTGTTTCAAACAGTTCCTGCTATCTTCCTCATTCCGCGCTCTTTGAATTACCTACTTTTCTTCTTCGATTATTTATTAATTTCTGATAATTGTGAATAATGGGCTGACAACATCACGTCTAATTCACAACGCGTGGCGCTGGCGGGGATGTTGAGGAAGCCTCAAATTCCGAACTGCTCGCTTCCAATGTCCTATAATGATTTGTTAAAACCCTCCTGCATGCAGAAGTGGCTCAACATTTCATGCCAAGGTATCTCACGGTGAGTATTTTACAGATTTTATGGCAAAATAGCAAAATACATAGACACACGTAATAGTCTCACTGATGTCCCGCGTGCGGCTTACTTGTCCTGACCTCGGGAGAGGTTCTGCGGCACGCTAAGTGCGCTGTCCCCGTCTCTCCAGAGACACCAGTTGTGTGACGGGTGACCCCGGGGGAGGCCTTCCCTCCCGACCGGTGACGTGACGCGACGTCCGGCCGTGACGCGACCTTGGAGGTCCCGGGACACTCGTCCCGCGCTCTGCGGAACCATTGACGGAGCGCCCCGGGCGGCCGGGCGCGGCATTAGCGGGCGCCCGGGGCGCCGGGTCGGTGACGGGTCACCGGCCGGTGACGCCCCGTGACGCCCCAGCGCCGGACGATCACCGTCATCAGACCTGTGGGCGCCCACAGAGGGCCGGGCGGGCGCCAGAGACGCCGGCCGGAAACGACAGGCGGCATTGAATATCAGCGGAACCGTAATTTGAGTCAAGCGGCCGACCTGACGCGGCATCGCCCCCGGGACTCCGGACTCGCTATCGGGAGCTTATGAATGTATTAGTTTATTTGGATTTAGTGGTTATTTTGTTTAGTAGCTTTTTAGTTGACTAGGCAAAGACATTATCTGGGATCATTGGATATTATTTCGCTGCTGGTTGTGTATTTCCCTCGATGAGCCGACATCCCTGGGCCCCTGACATCAAACTGGCTTTTCAGTTTTTGCTCTAGCCTGCTGACCGAGCGACGAGCGCCGTATTCATAGGCTTTGATCGAAGCGAGTATCAAAGGGTCATCTCAACGACCTGTAATGATACGCACTTACTTACAACGGTTCTGAACGATGTGAGATCGATGTCGATAAAAGCAAATCTTCCCAGGCTTGATAGCCATTCAGGTCGATGAAGAAAGGTAGACGTTTTGCCTACTTTTTGGGGTCTGTGTTAGTGCACCTAAAAGAACTGCATGACGTGTGATAATTGGGGCGAATGAAAACGTATCCATCTTTAGATTTACTCAAATATTTCACCAGATAATGTGCCTCTTTGCTTGGAAACGGCCATAAAACGCTGTATCTCTTGTAGGTATGCGGGAGACCACGACCCACACATCGCCTCTGGGCGCCCCTAACTGGGCGTCGATCGTGCCCGTCAGCCTCAGCACCCCCGGGACCCGCGCGGCACCGGCCGGCCCGCGGCGGCGTCCGATTTGCCGCAGCCGAGCCGCCATTGTTTCTCACAGTCGGAGCAATTTTCCATACTTATTTCCGATTTATGGTGGCGCTGCGGCGCCGGTAAAAAGTCACCGGCCGCTCGTCCGGCGGTCCTACCGGGTCGCCGGCAGCGGTCACCGCGCAGGGACAACATTAGGGCACCGATTGTGACCCGGTGACGCCAGAAGGTCATTGATCTTATCCAGCGGGTGCCTTTGGCATCTTCTGTTGTCTATTGCTGACTCTGTACCGGTGTTACGTCAACGTGTTACTGGCATCTTGTGTGTAACATCTCTGGTTATTGGTTATCTGGCTTTGTATGTATGCAGTGTGGCATTACAATTTCACTGGATCTGTGTCTGTATGACGTCACAGTTTCACTGGCTCTGTGCCTATATGACATCACAGGTTCACTGGCTCCGTACCTATATGACGTCAGCGGGTCGTTATTCCCATGCGTCTGCCACCAGCGGCGGCCGCGCCAGCCGCGGAGTGCGGCCTGGGAGCCGCTGAACCGCGCCAGTTGCGCGAAAATGGGACGATTTGCGCTCCTTTTGAGGACGCGGGCCCGGTCATGTGAGAATGGAGCCGAGCCGGCAGTCTGCAAACGATCTAAAAATGATTTAACGTAGGCTTCTCACGACAGGTACGAAAAATTCCACCCAGTGCATTCCACTGGCACTTCCCCTGCTGTCTTTCAGCGACTGTTCCGTCTGGCCTCCTGAGTCCCTGGCTGGCTGTTTGTCGCTGCTGAGGCCGGCTGTTGGCGCGTGCCGCTGCCTGTGACGGTGATTTGTGACAGCACGTGGTATTGCTCGGCAGATGCCGGCAGTCTGTGACCCCGGCGATACCGTCACGGTGTACCGGCTGCCTTCTGACCGGCCAGTCACGGCAGCCGTGTGCGGTCGGCGGCCGGCGACCGGCGCTTCCGCAGCCGCAGACGCCCGCGGCAGTATCGTGCACCCACGGACCACCGCCTGACACCCAACGACACAGGGCGGCGACCAACGGCACGGGGCCCGCAGCCGGCAATCACCGACGTCCCGCTGCTGAACAGGAGCTGGGCTCAGATCTGCTGCTGCTTGAAATCTATCGTTCGTCGTCGCTTGCCAATGTATTCCGTCCACGGGCTCATCTGAAGCTGAATATTTTGACAGCTCTGTCAATTGGCCGGTCTTTCGTGATTTGCTACGGTCCCGTGCGATGAGGCTTCCAACATTCTAGGACTACATCGGCCTGTATATGATAGTGTCATTTATCAGAGCTCGTATCTGTCCATGTGTCTGGGGATTGTCCCGTCGGCGTCACGGTTCGTCTATGTGATGATCCTCCGCCGCACAGGGTCGCCGGCAGTCCCCCGCCGCCGCGGGGCGCCGGTCCCGTTCATAGACCGTCGGCCCGTCCCCCGCCGCCGCGGGGCGCCGGTCCCGTTCACCCGCGGTGTCGGCGTCCGTGAGCCCCGTACCGTGCGTGTATCACCGTCTGCGTCCCGTCTCCACGGCCCGTGGCGGTCGCCGTCACTTCGCACGGTAGGTATTGGTGACGGACGCGCTGCGTTTCTCCGGTGCCAGTCATGCCTTAATGCTGCTCACAGGCTCACTTCCGCATTTCCCGAGTCAAGTGTGCGGCACTGTCGTATGTCACACGGCGTAAGGCGGAGACGAGCGCACAGGTGCCGTATACGGTGAAGATGTTGAGTGTTTGCATGACTGTATCCATCGTCTTTTTGCTTTCATCTGTCACCCGAACCGTTTTCTTTCTCATTAGCGAAGGCGCTGCTCTTAAGTGAAGGCAATTGCAGACTACTGAAGTACTTAAGCCATTTGCATTTGCACAATGTCTGAATTCCGTTGATAACCCCATCTGTGGTGACGGCGGCAATAAGACACCCATGGTCCGGAACGGGGCGCGCTCCGGCGTCACGGCGTGACGCGTGTGACGGCGCAGGTGTCACTGCTCGCCGTAACACCGCGGGGTCAGAGCTCCGCCCGGCGACGCCGGTGTCAGTCAGCCTTCCCGGCCGATCTGACACGGGCTGCAGATTTATTGTTTGTTTATATTGCTCTTCAATTCCTGTAATGTCAGCACGGGTACTTGGGAATCTGAAGCAATAGTATCTTTAGCTTCTTCAAAATTCAGTGTGATTGACTTTTGCGAACTGCTGCTCTAAACTAGGCCGAGTTTAGTGCGTTCCGAGTCCTGTGCGTTGTAAAAACAATAGAATTGGTGCTGACCGACAATGCCCATGTGAGTGATTCGGCCCCATAGCATTGGCCGCTTCGTCGCCACCGCATGTGGCAGGGTTCCGTCCTCTCCAGTCTGCTGTAACTGGCCTGGCCTAGCGAGCTTTGCGCTGGCCCTGGTGGTGGCTGGCTGGAGCTGAATCCGTTTGCCGCACTCTGCCATGCGTTACTGGCCGTCCGTTGGCGGCTGGCTGGAATCGAGTGTCTCCGCTCACTCCACTCCGCCGTGCGTTACTGGCCGTCCGCTCCGGTCGGTCGGAACTGGGTGACACTCCTCTGAGTCTGGATGGACAGCGGCTCCCAGATCCGCGGCCATTACCGGCTCCGGTCAGCCGCGGAGCCGCGCCCGTCACACCGCCGCCGGCCGTCACTTAACGTGACGCTGCGCCAGTTTCTGCGCCGTGACGCAGTGTGCAGTACGG